GCTAGCTTAGTATACGACTTTTCCCCCTGCAATTGAAGATTTCGGCGTGCGCGCGCGAAGAAAAAACGAATGTGTCCCACATGGTATTATTTGACAGGGATGATGGCCCTGGCAGGCGCGCAACCTTTGTTGCAGAAGTTCGAAGCACGTGAAAAAGTTGCTCGCAAGAGCCCGTTTGACAGAAATGTTGAAAAAGTATTGGGTTTCCTAAGAAATCCGCAAGAGCGCGCGGGGTGAATTTTTGAAACCCTTTTTTTGAAAAACCATTGGGTTTTTCATGTTTTTATGTGAAAATCGCTACGAAGACTAAGGTTTTGGAAGGATTTCGTCTTGCGCGCGCGAATGTGCACTTCGTGTCATTTTTTGCAAGGGATTCTTGAAGTTTGATCATGTTAGAACAAGAAATGTCCACTTTGCCTTATTTTTTGCAAGGGAAAACCGATCGTAACAACACAACCGGATCCGGACACCCACGTTTTGCCTGAGACTTCCTCACGAAAATGATGAAAATGCTGCGGCCTAGGCGCGGCGGGGGGGGCGCGCACCAGGGGTCCCAACAATAATTATTCTTTAGAAGAAATAATGGACACACCCGTTCTCACCAGTGCCAGGGTTTTCATAGGAGGCGGGCAATACCCCCACTTTGTGGGGGGGCCGGTTCAAGCTCTACCAAATTTCCAAACGACTCTTCGCCACCACCCACACCCAGCTTCCCGCCCTATGACGTTCGGACACTTCACTTCGTGGCATGCGGACGACCGTGGCTACTATTCAGGGCCCCGCGGCCGACGACGACGGCGTGCGCGCGCGAAGAAAAAACGAATGTGTCCCGCATGGTATTATTTGACAGGGATGATGGCCCTGGCAGGTGCGCAACCGTTGTCGCAGAAGTTCGAAAAAGTTGCTCGCAAAAGCCCGTTTGACAGAAATGTTTAAAAAGTGTTGGGTTTCCTACGAATCCGCAAGAGCGCGCGGGATGAGATTTTGACATTTTTTTGTTGAAAAACCATTGGTTTTTTGATGTTTTTATGTTAAAATCGCTCCGAACACTAAGCTTTTGGAAGGATTTCGTCTTGCGCGCGCGAATGTCCACTTTACCTTATTTTTTGCAAGGGATTCTTGAAATTTGATTATATTAGAACAAGAAATGTCATTTTATAGTGTTTTTTGCAAGGGAAAACGGATTACAACAAAACAACCGGATCTGGATCACATCGTTTTACCTGAGGCTTCCTCACGAAAATGATGAAAATGTAGCTGCGGCCTAGGCGGCGCAGGGGGGGCGTGCACCAGGGGGCCCAACAATAATTATTCTTTAGAATAAATAATGTTCAACAACCAGCATGCGACCCTCATGCGCGATCTTTCCACACGAAGCATGCGACCATCATGATAACCATCCCCATCATGGGGATGACTGTTCTATGGCGGGGTCCGTTATCCCCATTCCCAGATATCCCGCCCAATGAGGTCTTGCAAACACCTCCGAGGAATTTCAACATATCCCGCCTCGAAAACACATGCCCGCGCCTTGCTGCTCCGATGCGAGACCGCCGGTGGAGCCCCAGCCAAGGGTAAAGCACAAGGAAGTATCGAGCGACAGGATTGCCTTGGTGGGGATAGGGGCTGTCGGCGGCGAGGCAAGGACCTGGCCCTGAATAGAAAGGGAGGAAGTCTCGAGCAGGGCCACTGTTGGTGCTGGGAGCGGCGCCGATGCTGAAGAGAGTGAGGCGCTAGTCCAGCGCAAATCAAAACCAAACCTCCAGCGGCAGCGCTGGTTTTGTTGGGACGGCTGTTTTCGGCGGCGAGGAGGAACACCTCCTCGAGCAAGAAGGAAGCCTCGAGCGGGAGCCGTGGTTTTGTCGGGACGGGGGCTGTCGGCGGCGAGGAACAGCATCGTCCCGAGGAAAAAGGAAGGAAGCCTCGAGCGGGAGCGCTGTTCTTGCTGGGAGCGGCGCGAAGTCTCGGGTGGGAGCGCTGGTTTTGTCGGGACGGCGGCTTTCGGCGGCGAGGAGGAGCACCGCCTTGAGTAAAACAGGAGGAAGTCTCGAGCGGGAGCGTTGTTGTTGCTAGGGGCGGCGCCGATAAGAGAAAGAGTAGCGCGCCAGTCCAAGGCAAAAAGGGATGAAGTCTCGAGCGGGAGCGCTGGTTTTGTTGGGACGGCGGCTTTCGGCGGCGAGCCAGAGCACGGGCCCTGAGTAAAAAAGGACGAAGTCTCGAGCGGGAGCGTTGTTGTTGTTGGAGGGCTGGTTTTGGCGCCCCTCGAACCGCTCGAGCGTGAGCCTCATTTTCAATGAAAATGTAACCAGCGCCGAGGCGAGAGCGCCAAAGCGCCTGGGGGGGCAACAATAATAATTGTTTAGTAGTTACTATTCAACAGAAACAACAAGAACAACAACAACAACAATCACTTTACCCGAACGCTCAGTGTTCTCACCAGTGCCAGGGTTTTCATGCGACGCCAGCCAATACCCCCACTTTGTGGGGGGGCAGTGCAAGCTCTACCAAATATCCACACGACTCTTCGCCACCACCCACACCCAGCTTCCCGCCCTATGACGTTCGGACACTTCACTTCGTGGCCTGCGGACGACCGTGGCTACTACACTGGCGTGGAGTACACACCCACAGAAGTTGTTAAGCCTACGTTCGTACACCCACAGAAGTTGTTAAGCCTTGTTAACCCACAGAAGTTGTTAAGCCTTCCACAGAACATCTGTTGCATATGATGCATATGGTACATGATACACATGATACACATGATACGTACTCACAAGATAGTTGATCACATCTTTAGGGCAAATTCCTGAGGGATGTGGGAATACACAAGAGAGAGAGGATATGGTTGTCCCGATGGTTGTCTCGATGGTTGTCCCGATGGTTGTCCTGATGGTTGTGGTTGTCCCGATCGTTGTCCCGATGATTGTCCCGATGGTTGTCCTGATGGTTGTGCTTGTCCCGATCGTTGTCCCGATGACTGTCCCGATGATTGTCCCGATGGTTGTCCCGATGGAGATTTCGGCGTGCGCGCGCGAAGAAAAAACGAATGTGTCCCGCATGGTATTATTTGACAGGGATGATGGCCCTGGCAGGTGCGCAACCGTTGTCGCAGAAGTTCGAAAAAGTTGCTCGCAAAAGCCCGTTTGACAGAAATGTTTAAAAAGTGTTGGGTTTCCTACGAATCCGCAAGAGCGCGCGGGATGAGATTTTGACAATTTTTTGTTGAAAAACCATTGGTTTTTTGATGTTTTTATGTTAAAATCGCTGCGAACACTAAGGTTTTGGAAGGATTTCGTCTTGCGCGCGCGAATGTCCACTTTACCTTATTTTTTGCAAGGGATTCTTGAAATTTGATTATATTAGAACAAGAAATGTCATTTTCTATTGTTTTTTGCAAGGGAAAGCGGATTACAACAAAACAACCGGATCCTGTACACACCCTCTTTTCTGAGGCTTCCTCACGAAAATGATGAAAATGTAGCTGCGGCCTAGGCGGCGCAGGGGGGGCGCGCACCAGGGGGCCCAACAATAATTATTCTTTAGAATAAATAATGTTCAACAACAACAACAACAACAACAATTACTAGCACGTGGGGACACTCCGTTCTCACCAGTGCCAGGGTTTTCATAGGAGGCGGGCAATACCCCCACTTTGTGGGGGGGCCGGTTCAAGCTCTACCAAATTTCCAAACGACTCTTCGCCACCACCCACACCCAGCTTCCCGCCCTATGACGTTCGGACACTTCACTTCGTGGCATGCGGACGACCGTGGCTACTATTCAGGGCCCCGCGGCCGACGACGACGGCGTGCGCGCGCGAAGAAAAAACGAATGTGTCCCGCATGGTATTATTTGACAGGGATGATGGCCCTGGCAGGTGCGCAACCGTTGTTGCAGAAGTTCGAAAAAGTTGCTCGCAAAAGCCCGTTTGACAGAAATGATTAAAAAGTGTTGGGTTTCCTAC